ATAAATATAATTGTATATAAATAAATATAATTATTGTTCAATAGGTTTTTCGGCATTTTCAACATTTTCAGCTTTTTCAGCCTCCTTATCATCATGCTGTTTTTTCTTGGAAACAAAAAGACAAAACTGAAATAAATCAAGTATGATTATTAGTCATGGGCGCACCAAAATCTTCATCGTTAATCAGAAAAAACAGGGGAATTCATTTTACCTCATCAAAGAGGATATATCCTCCACCGTTCGCATCGATTTTATCAAATTCTGCCTTAAGGTCTTTCTCTGAAGCCACTTTTATTCCAATCATCTTGTGTCCCTCCTTGAACTCTTGATAATTGATACGTTTGTCATTATTTTTGTCGAGTTTCTTAAACTTCTTGTATACATCATTATAGTAATAAAGAAGATCGAGGAGGCGACCAAATTCATTCGAGTCAATGAAACCATCCTAATAGGAGATTAGTGATGTTTGATTGGAGTGTGTTAGAAATGCAAAATCCAGTTATGTGCCATCTATCTTTCACAACAAGACAAACAAACCTTTGAAGCGTCAGCAGCTTTGTAAGCTCGCATAATAGCAGGCTTATCTTTTGCAAGAAGCGGGTAGGTTTCAGCTATAGCTTTATCAATTTCAGCAAGTGATAGGATGCCATTTCCATTATAGTCAAATCTGTCAAAAATCTACGACAATAATTAAAAATTAGTATATTGAAGGCTATGAAACATCGTTTATCAAATAAAAATGGTTAATGTATGTTGTTAATTACCTCTTTAATCTCTTCTTGATTTAGTTTTCCTCCCTTTTCAAGCAGTTCTTGAATTTTCGTTTTTCTGGGGGTTTTTTTAACATTTGTACTATCTTGTTTTTTCATATTTGATTATTTATTAATAGAATAATGCAGAATAATGATAATGTTTTAATTATTTGATTATAGGATAATGGTAATGGTTGATTATTTGATTATTTGATTATTTATTTGAGAATAATAAAAGTTTGAGGATGTATTTAT